TTTTATTTATGTGGTTTTTATTTTGGTAAGAACACCTAATGTAAGATCTACCCTCTTGACAAAATTTTAAGTGCCCTATACAGCAATGTTAACTGTAGATCCAATGTTGTACACTAGATCTCTAGAATTTCCCACTGCAGTTCCATATGAATTTGAGGTTTGGCTTTTCCATTTCAAAAAAAGACTTTTAGAATTTTGATAGGGATTTCATGGAATCCAGAGATCACTTTCAGTAGTATGGATATTCTAACAATATTAAATCTTTCAATCTATTGACATGGGATGTCTTTCCATTTATTTGTGTCTTTATTTTCTTTCATTAGTGTTTTGTAGTTTTGATTGTATGTCTTTTACTTCATTGGTTAAATTTATTCTTAAGTATTTTGTTCTTTTTGGTGCTATTGTAAATGGGATTATTTTCTTAATTTCCTATCTGAATAGTTCACTGTTAGTTACCCTGATACCAAATCCACACAAATACACTAGAAGAAAACTGTAAGCCAATATTCCTATTCTTATTTTTAAGAAATTTTTAATGTTTATTCATTTTTGAGAGACAGAGCATGAGTGAGGGAGGGGCAGAGAGAGAGGGAGACACAGAATCTGAAGCAGGCTCTAGGCTCTGAGCTGTCAGTACAGAGCCTGACGTGGGGTTCAAGCTCACCAACTGCAAGATCATGACCTGAGCCAAAGTCAGACGTTTAACCAACTGAGCCACTCAGACGCCCCCATATTCCTATTCTTAGTGAAGATAGATACAAAAATCTTCTACAAAGAACTAGCAAACCAAATTCAATAACACATACATCATGATCATCTGGGATTTATCCCTGGGATGCAAGAATGGTTCAACATAAACAATCAATGCGATACATCATATTAACACAACGGAGGATAAAAATCACATGATCACAATAGATGCAAAAACCATTTGATAAAATTCAATACCCTTTCATGACAAAAAAAAAAAAAAAGAAAAAGAAAAAAAGAAAGAAAACCTCTCAACAAAGTATAGAAGAAATTGGCCTCAACATAATAAAGGCCATATATGAAAGGCCTACAGCTAACATCATATGCAATGATGAAAACTTGAAAGATTTTCCTCTAAGATAAGGAAAAAGGCAGGGATGCATGCTTTAGACACTTTTATTCTGCATAGGACTGGAACTCTTAGAGAAAGTAGGCAAGAAAAAAAATAAATAAAAGGCATCAAAATTGGGTAGGAAAAAGTAAAATTATATGTTTGTAGATGATATGATTTAATATGTAGAAAATTCTAAAGACTCCACTCATACACACTCTCCCTTCCCTACCTTTCCTTTATTTCTCTGCCTCTCTCTCTGTCTCTCTTTCTCTCTCTCTTTCTGTCTGTCTCTCTCTCTCACATACACACACTGTTAAAACTAATAAATTCATTAAAGCTACAGGATCCAAAATCCTACCTTCTCCATATGACTTGGTGGGGAATATAAGCGGGAGATTAGGGGGGGAATACATTTGGAGAATTTGTTTCCCTGGCTCCCTCATAGGTTCAGGGAGAGATGGCTAATGAGAGCTTCTATCAGGTCACATTCTCCACATGGCCCTCTCTGTCTCCAGTTTTTGGTAAATGCTCTCTCTCTTCCCCACCTTTAGGCCTATTTAAAATAGCCTTGAGGTCCTGATATTTCCCTTATGATTTCCCTACAGCCTTCTCTCACCTTTGTAAAAAGCCCACTTATTGAACTGCTTCAGAATGTCTAAATGATATGTGTTTCTTGCCAGTAGCCAGGCTACTCTACCTCACACTCACATTCAACTCATCGATAAATGCTATAATTTCCACTTACAAAGTATATTCTAAAGCTAAACAATTTTTACCACCTGCACTATCCTCACCCTAGTTTAAGCCACCTTAATTTCTCACCTGCATTAGAGCAACAGTTGGGTACTTCTGCTCTCTCTTCCCACACCATTCTATTCTCACAGCAGCCAGTACCATCTTTTGTAAAAGTAAGGAAGATAATGCCATTACCCTGATCACAAGCTTCTAAACACTCTCCAGTACACACACAGAATGAAATAAACATTAAAATTCCTTGTGACGGACAACAAAGCTCTGTTCAGTTGGCCTTTGCTTCTTTCTGTCCCATTGCTGACACTCTCCTTAATGCTTACTTATATTGTTTCAGTCACAGTGGCCTCCTTGAAGTTCCATGAACATTCATACAATGCTACTACTTTATTTATTTATTTATTTATTTATTGTGCTACTATTTTAAAGCATTTGTTCTCGATGTCATTCTATAGAGAATGTTCTTATCTTAGATATTTGCATGCTCCATTTCTCTTTTCAGCCAGCCTTCTACTTAAATGTCATCCCATTAAAAAAAAAAAAAAAAGACCTTCCCTGAACACACTATCTAAAATAACAACTTGCAGTGTATATCTACTCACACACCTTTCTGTCTCTCCATAATATTCATCACTGCCTTGTATGATGTATCTATGTATTGACTTGTCTATTGTCACTTTTTCCCCCTATATTACATACTCCAGGAGTGAAGGGATTACAATCACTTTTATTCAGCACTTGTAATATCAGGACCCAAAACATTACACTGTGCATAGATGCTCTAATAGATTTTTTGTGAATGAATGGGAGTGGAAATAAACCAACTGGATTAATTAAATTAAAAGAAAACTTAAATGAAAGCTTAAATGAAAAGCCAATTCATACTCAAAGTTTGCTTAATGAGTGTATAGAAAAAAAAGAAGGCAGGGGCGCCTGGGTGGCTTAGTCGGTTAAGCGTCTGACTTTTGCTTAGGTCATGATCTCGCGGTTCGTGGGTTCGAGCCCCGCGTCGGGCTCTGTGCTGACTGCCAGCTCAGAGCCTGGAGCCTGTTTCGGTCTGTGACTCCCTCTCTCTCTGACCCTCCCCTGCTCACACTGTCTCTCTCTCTCTCCTAGAAATAAATAAAACATTAAAAAAATTTAAAAAAAAAGAAAAAAAGAAAAAAAAAGGCAGATTAATACAATAGCATCAGGTTAAAACAACCTGATTCAACCTCTAACACTGGAACTGTTCCTTGTAATGGGACAAAGACATTTCCAAAGCCAATTAATAAGGATTCTTCCTGTGGACAATGCCAGGATGGGCATACTTGGATTTGATGTTATAGCTTTTCTGTTTTTGTGCTCCATGGCCAGGCAAGAGCCCTTTCAATGAACATTATCTCTAAAAACAAAACAAAACAAAAAACCACCACCACCACCAACAACAACAACAAAAAACCCCAACAAAACAAAACAAACAAACAAACAAAAAATCCCTCCTATGCAATACATCAGACTTAGAAAAAGATATATAAATGTATCTGCCAGGCAAAAAGTAATAAAAGGAATAACAACATACCTATATTCAGGGCAAGCCATAAATACTACCAAGAATTTTTGAAGCTCCATCTCTACAAGATTTTAACTCTTCCTCTCCTGTAAAGGAAATATTTATCCTGATGTTTGAGTAAAATATTTCCTTGCTTTTTAAAATAGTTTTATTAATAGGAAAACTATAAAGATCTGCATGAAAGTGAAATTATTGACTATTCTTTCACTTGTTTCCACTCACCATTCTGTTTTTGAGATTCATCCATGTTGATGTATTTATTCATTGATCTTCACCTTTGTACATTATACCATTCTAGGAATATATGCCAATTTATTTATGCATGTTTCTCTTGATGGGCTTTTGGGTGGTTTTCTGGTTGTTGTGCTACTCTTTACAAATTGCTGTGAATATTCTTTAATGTGTCTTTCCATTACTACAACCATGGAACCATTTTCTTTCTTTAGAAGACTTTATACTTCTATGTTCAATCAATTTTGCATTGATCTTGCAATTACTCTGAGGGAAATCTTGTTTTCCTCATTCCGGCATTCTTAGTCAGCAGTTTACTGCAGCCCTTTGAAAATCTACTGACATTACCTTAGATAATTCACTTAGAGAAGCTCTGAACTTAACATAGCGTTGCCAATTAACCCTCTCTGAGGAGCTGTTTTCCTTTCCTAAAAGGCCCCCAAGAAGTCTCTGAAAATTTGAGGAGATATTTAAAATATTTTGATAGTTCTGACATCACAAAATAATTTTTTCTTTCATTAAATTGTGTTGATGTTCCCTAAGTATCCTAGATTGAATTAACTCAAAATAAATATATAGAATCTCTGGTGGAAAAAGGAAGAAGTTGTGCTTCTATCTCAAATTGGTGAAGCAGTTACTCATTTCAATCTTTACTTTAAATTGACCAGTTGATTCCAGCTTTGATTTCACTGAGGGACTAAATTACTCTTCTCACTAAGAAAGTCTGCCAGATGTGACAAATAAAAATACAGGACACACAGTTAAATTTACATCTCAGATTTAAAAAAAAATGAGTATCTTTTGGTAGATGTATGTCCAAAGCAATATTTGGCATCTACTCATACTAAAAAGTATTTTTTAAAAAATTTATTTCTAGGAGGGAGAGAGAGAGAGAGAGAGAGCGAGAAAGCGTGAGCAGGGGAGGGTCAGAGAGAGAGGGAGATACAGACTCTGAAATAGGCTCCAGGCTCTGAGCTGGCAGTCAGCACAGAGACCGACGCGGGTCTCGAACCCACGAACCGTGAGATCATGACCTAAGCAAAAGTCGGACGCTTAACCGACTAAGCCACCCAGGTGCCCCTAAAAAGTATTTTTTAACTCTAAAATGCAATTAACTAGGCAATGTTTATTTTATCTATGCCATTTCTACCAATTAGAGCTGTCAAGGTTTCCTAAAGCTGTTCGATTTGCTGCAGATATTTTTTGTACGTCATAAACTGATCAGCTGTGCGGACCTTAGCAATCTTTCACTGTTTGCCTATTCCTTCATTTCATACTGTACGTTCTCTTCAAGCAAAGCACTAAGAGTCTTATTATAACTGTTCTGCCTAAAGTTTATAACTTTCGCTGATAATTCTCTTAGAATGTCTTTCAAAGTGCAACATGTATCCAAATTCAAAAGAACAGAATGCAGAGGGCGAGATAGCTGTGGGGTTGGGGCTGAAGGCCTGGAAAAGGCTGAGCAGTCCTGAGATACCGCGATATGTTAGACAGTACAAAAGTCTTCTGAACCTCGTCAGCTCCCATACTTCCAACAGCTTTATCCAGATAATCGCCCCCTCCCACTTTGGGCCTGCGGCGCGCGGCGTTGGCATCGACCACCGAAGCCTCTTAGGCCTCGAGACTTTTCTCTGGCCTAGCCAGGGCGCCTCTGCTCCCTTTCTCAGACTTTTGGGACTTTTAACCGCTCCAGACCGGCTGCAGCAATTATCTTTCAAGATGTCTGATAACGGGGGCCGCACAGATGGCCTGCAGAACCCAGACAGAAGCCTGCTTAGTAGCCCTGAGGTAGAAGCCGGAAGGGAGACATCTTACGGCGCTGCGCTGCGCTTGAATGTGACCGGAGATGGCAGCGTTCCCAGCTCAGAAAGGCAGAGCACTGATGCAGAAAGTTCAAGTGAAGACATCAACTTTGAAAGCACCGTAGATTTCAACCCATTCTTTGACTCTGGGGAAAACCTATTCCAGTCTGACCCAGAAGAAGAGGGGGCGCAAGGAGAGGAAGAAACCGAGGACCAGGGAGAGGAAGAAGCGGCAGGAGAACAGCCCCAGGTACCGTGGTACGAAGCTAGTAGCCGTGATCTGTTTTTCTCCCCTGAGGCCCAGGCCCTGGAGGAGTGGGTGTCCTCCGAAATCTCCACTCTGCCCCGCCCTCGCTGGCAAGCGGTGTCTGCTCTTCGCGAGCGCCAGCTGGGTTCCAGTGCCCGCTTTGTGTATGAGGCCTGTGGGGCAAGGCTCTTTGTGGAGCGTTTGCACGTGTTCTCCCAGCTTGCAAGCCATCATGGTTGTGTCAACACGGTGCACTTTAACCAGCGTGGCACCTGGCTGGCCAGTAGCAGCGATGATCTGAGAGTGATAGTGTGGGACTGGGTGCGCAAACAGCCAGTACTCGTGTTTCCGAGTGGCCACAGAAATAATGTCTTTCAAGCCAAGTTCCTACCCAATTGTGGTGATCCCACCGTGGCCACGTGTGGCCGTGATGGGCAGATACGCATAGCAGAGCTGTCTGCCCTGCCGCACTACAAGAATAGTAAGCGTGTGGCCCAGCACAGGGGACCCTCCCACAAGTTGGCTCTGGAGCCAGACTCCCCTTTTAAGTTCCTCAGTTCAGGTGAAGATGCAGTTGTTTTCGCCATTGACCTCAGACAAGACCAGCCGGCTTCCAGAGTGGTGATAACCAAAGAGATGGAGAAGAGAGTGGGGCTGTATACCATATATGTGAATCCTGCCAATCCTCACCAGTTTGCAGTGGGTGGAAGAGATCAGTTTGTAAGAATTTATGACCAGAGGAAAATTGACAACAACGAGAATAATGGGGTACTCAAGAAATTCTGTCCTCATCACCTAGTCAACGATGATACCAATATACACATCACCTGCGTGGTGTACAGCCACGATGGCACAGAGCTCCTGGCCAGTTATAATGATGAAGATATTTATCTCTTCAACTCCTCTGAAGGAGATGGAGCCCAGTATGCTAAGAGATACAAGGGGCACAGAAATAGTACCACAATTAAAGGTGTCAATTTCTATGGCCCCAGAAGTGAGTTTGTGGTGAGTGGTAGTGATTGCGGCCACATCTTCTTCTGGGAGAAATCATCCTGCCAGGTCGTTCACTTCATGGAAGGGGACAGGGGAGGCACCGTAAACTGTGTTGAGCCCCATCCTCACCTACCTGTAATGGCGAGCAGTGGCCTAGATGATGATGTCAAGATCTGGGCACCCGCACCTGGAGCCATCAACCACCTGGTCTCGTTAAAGTATATAATGAAGAGGAACAAGCAAGAACGAGATGAAGATCGCCTGCACCACACGGACCTGTTTGACAGCCACATGCTTTGGTTCCTGATGCGTCACCTGACACAGGGAGGTCATCGCCACCACTGGGCTGCAGAGTCGGATGAGTCTTCCAGTACCTCCAATTCATCTGAGGAGGAAGAGAACCAAGACTACGTGCAGTGCCTGCCGTCCTGAAGTCCTCATGCCTGCTCCAGCTAGATGTTGCCTCCGAAGGCTAAATTTTAAGTTTAAAATTCAGTTTAACTAAGAAATTTTCCTTTTGTCTTCTATTTTCCATAATAAAAACTTTCTCTTGTATCTCTGTCCTCTCCCTTCTTTACATTCTTCCTCTTCCATTCTTTTCCTCTCACTTGGTTTCTTTACTCCTCTCTCTTTACACATTATATCTCTGTATAAGAAAATATGTAAGGTTTTTTTTTTTTTTTTGCCTCTTTGTTTTCTTATGGCTCAGCTCTTACAACTGACTTTTAAAGGTTCTGAGAATGGTTAAAAATAATTATTAGCTTTATTGAATCTATCTTATTTCTAGTTAAAAATAATAGCTTTATTGAGTCTATCTTATTCCTAGTTAAAAATAATTAATAGCTTTATTGAATCTATCCTCTTATTTATGACACTCTGAAAACTGTCACCTTTTTTTCATCTTTAGCAGTTGAACATTAATTTCTTCAGTTGATTTGAAAATTTCAGAAATGCGTTTATTCTTTAGAAGTAAAGTAAAATAAAGCAAACCATGGTCCTGTTTCTTGAATGCGGACACTTGGCCATACACACGCACCCATGCACACACACACACAGACTCTCTCACAGAAAAGGAAAAGGGGAGAAGAGGTGCATAGGTAAATTCCTAACAAGATAATTCACGCTTCTGGAATAAACATTTGGGGTTATCAACATTTTCTGAATCCCTATGTTAATATTGATTAATTTAAGAAGACAGAGATTGGTAAAAATTAAACTTAATCACATGGCATTGTTTACTCTGCATTCTCAATTCTCTTGAAGTTTCATAGCTGAGAACTCCCAAAGGATTGCCTTCCACGAGGTCCTCTTGGGACAGCCGTCTGTAAGATACCAGCCAGAAATATAAGAGTTGCTAATATTTGAAAATATATATTTGAACTGACTTTAAGAGCAACTTAATGTTGCAATAAAGAGTTTTTTATCCTTACAGATAACTGTTTGATACCATTGGAAGAAATGGTACAATTACAAGAAATCACCTGCTTGTAAGAGGTTAAATTGCTTTTAAAAATATTTTAAGCCTTGTTTAATGTAAATTTTGGGTGCTGGATGTTCAGTTATTGTTCAATAATATTCATTTCTGTTTTACACTAGTAATTTGTGTAAGTTACCCTCAACATTCCCTCTTTCCTTTGATAATACTCCTTAAAGTGGATATTATCTCTGGCCCCTTGAGAGTAGGTTGAGACATTTACATAATGAAATTAGACTTTGGAATCGAAAGTAACTTGGTCAAAATTCCTGTTCACTGAGATTCAAAGTCAGGAACAACTGCCTGAGGATCTGGGAGGTTGGGGCGGCCCCTACCAAGGTCTGCTGTTAGGAAAGAACCTTCAAAATCCCCAAAGAATCTAATGAGTATGAAGTAAGCACTGTGTTTTAACACAGGATAGAAAGAAACAAAATTATAAACTAGTTTATTAATTTGGGGCAATGCTGCACAATTGGGTAGGATTAATACTAGCAACACCAGCAAAATATTGAAAAACACCTGGAATTTCTAGTGACACTGAGTGGCAATGAGAACAATGGGAAGAGAAGATTAATTATCCAGTTTTTTTTCACTTCTTGTTTGGAAGCATATCTGGAGGTGGGAGAGGTGGGGAGGTGCAGGGAGGGAGTGCGGGGTGGGGTGGGGTGGGAGGAATGGGTGCTGGGTGGGGTAGGGGTGGGGGAGGAAGGTACTGTGGGGTTGTTGGTGATGGTTGTTCAGGGAGCCTAGTACTGGGAACTGAAACTTTCTGCAGAGTTCCCTGGATGGTTCTGAGATTTCTTGTGCTACATGAAGCATTTGAAGAGAGAATTGGATAGCAAAGGTAAAGGAGTAGTTATGTATTTTTTTATGCTCAGAAAGTAGAGATCGGGGCACTGTCACTGATCTGCTGGCTTACCTTACTATGAGGCAGCAGTGGGGCCCATGGCTATACCAGCCCCCCTCATATCTTCCTTTAGCTTCACCAGTTCAATAATAAAGAGTGCCCACTCCTTCATGGTACTCACTCATCAAAGTTGGAGGTTTGGAGACTGAAGGATGAATACATGGGTTCCAGTCTGTCCTTGTGAGTTCCAGCTACTCCTCATGGATCCGAATCTATCCTTGCTTCCCTCCACTTCACATCCGTCTCTTCTTCCAGAATGCTGTACTGACTTTAGCCTCCAGCAGCTGAACCAGAGAAAAACCTTATGGAGTCTACTTAATCAGCTCCCACGGTTACATACTATGAGGTCTCTATTATATAAGTCACTTGTTACTTGTGTATCACCCTCATCCCCATCCCCAGGGTTTCTGTTTCTCTGAATTGTGATGGGCACATCCACCCCCACCTGCTTTGGACTGAGTAAACCTCTAGATTACTTTAACAATTTGCCATTTGGAGGAAGTCCTCTAAAGAGGTTGGATTTGAATAATATGGATAATAGATACACAGATTAATATTAGGGACTCAATTGATTTGAAATGTAAAGTTATGATTATAGGTGAAAGCCAGGCAGGTGAAATAAGTCCTAGAAAAGAGAAGTAATTGTTATCATTTTAATTTATGCAAGTATTGGTCCTATTGATGTATAGAAGAGAGCAATACAATATCACTACCAGCCTTCCATGAGATGGCAGGCAAAGCTAACAATTCTATCAAATAAGCAGGCAAAACTGCACCTTTAAATTTAAATTTTCGACACCAATTATTTTGATTCCAATATGGAATTTCTACAGGACATTTCTGTGTAAGCCCTCATGGCCTTTATGCGGTATTATAATTGTCTCCTAATTATGCACAGAATTTAACTGCATAAAGTTGCGACAGATGCCAAACTATACTTTTAAAAAGACATCTCCTGGCATACATTCTTTAAAAAGACAGGTATGGAAAAGAATAGACATGAAAAAAGTATATAATGGAGCCTAATTGCTAAATGGCAGGCCAAAAAATTTGGGGTGAATTCTGTTAGTCCAACAGCGACCTTCAGCACTACTCACTCCACCATGTCCTGAGCCAAAAGCAAAATGCAATAAAGTCACAGTAGATTGGATCTTAGCCATCCTGTGATCAACTTCTATGAACTTCACTATTTTAATTTGCTTTGACTTCATCTCTTCAAAAGTAAGATGAGAGGCTTAGATTTTTATATGTAGTTTTCAGAGCCTTATGGATTTCTTCACTGGATGCTGAAAGTTCAGAGATGGATGAATGACAAACCAGGTTGACAAGAAGCTTAGTATACTAATCTTAAGCTGTGTTCTAGGAAGAACTGGGGGGGGGGTTTGAATGTCTTCATTGGGAGGGGGTTAGGTAATTTCCTATTCTGCTGCTATAAAGTATAATGTTGATTTTTCCTTCCTAGCTTTGGCAACTTCTTTAACTCCACTATATAAGCAATCACCAATGGAAATCAGATACACATATACTATCAATATATTCAAGTGTAATTTCTCAAGTGTTCTTCAAAAAAAGCATATTAAAATGAAGAACAGGAAACTCAAGTTTAGAGAAGTTAACTTTCCAAAGTCACTGAGCTAAAAAGATAGAGGAGGGGCTCAAATAGAATTTACAACTAAATTAATCTGACTAATAATGGTGCATAGTGTCATTGCTTTGGGTGCATGGTAATTTGGTTTGGTTGAAAACAGAAATTGAGAACCCACATCTCAAGATTCTCTCATGACATCCTTTCATCTACATAGGTGTCTGTAGTCTCACTGGACTTCTGCCAGCTATATGACAGCCATGTTAACAACCCAAACCCCTGAAATTAAATTGTAGGCCACTGAGGAGAACAAATGAAACAACAACAATGAACCAAAGAAAAACAAAATCTAAAATACAAAATAGAAAAACAGTACATGGGATAGGGTAAGTACTTCTAGCCTCTGCTACACATTGATCAGGATGATGACATCAGCTGAAAAGGTTGTTGCTCATGAATCTCTGTCTAGAATCAAAGTCAAATAATAGCCAACTCTGCATACTGGTGATTTTGATTATTCTGCTAAAAAGCTGTAACAACCCTGATATTCTAGAAACTCTCTTCCTCAGCTAACAGGTATGACCAGTGCTGTGAAGAACTGAGACCCATGAGACGTGAACATAAGATCTTCAGTCAAATAAAGAAGTCTTTCTTTTCTACAATGAATTGCTCTCTAAAGAAGAGAAAAGATTCAGATCTTAGGTGTTACCCTCTTAACGCTAATAAATGATAATTGATAGTTACCCTCATAAATTTTTTTAAAAGTTTGCAATTATAAATTCTTGGTAAGGAAGGGTACCTATAATTTTTTAAAAATGTTTTCAGGAGTGCCTGGGTGGCTCAGTCAGTTAAGCATCTGACTTTGGCTCAGGTCATGATCTCAAGGTTCGTGGGTTTGAGCCCCATGTCTGGCTCTGTGCTGACAGCTAGCTCAGAGCCTGGAGCCTGCTTCAGATTCTGTATCTCTCTCTCTGACCCTCCCCTGCTCACACCCTCTCTCTTTCTGTCTCTCTCTCTGTTTCTCTCTCTCTCTCTCAGAAGTAAATAAAAACATTAAAAAATGTTTTCAGATATAAGGGAATACAGTTACTTTAACACCATCAGAGAGAACCAAATATTTTGGGGGAAAGTTTTTTTTTTTTTTTTTTTTTGCACATGCTTTCTCTTAGTAGTTTCCTCTCCAAATATATCTCTCTCTTCCTCAGCTGACTGATATACATATATATATATATATGTGTGTGTGTATATATATATATGTGTGTGTGTGTGTGTATGTAGAATTGTAGGGTGATGGCACTACTCTGTACGGTACTGGAGTGAGAGATATATGATTTAATGCATTTGTTAAAATTCGTATAGAATTGTACATCACAAAGAGTATAGTGATGTCAGGAAATCTCAGAATGTAATACACAGTATGACAAATGAATCGAATTCAATTACAAATTTAAGACATAACCTCACTGAAGCAGGTGGGAGAAAAAAAAAAGCTGGCTAAATAAGTTTGTCAAAACTAGACAAAAGGAACTGTACATAAG